CAGTTTTGAAATGATGAACAAAACCCAACTTTCCTTATCACTATTTCCCATTCTTCTAATATTTTTCTCTAATTCTCTCCATTCTTTTTTTTCCCTCCCAGTCGCTCCGCCCCTTTTCCGGAGTGGGCGGAGCTGAAGCATCTCCGATTTCTTGTACAATTCCATAAAAAGTTTATTTTTTATTTTCTGATTGTGTTGATCATCATTTAGTCAAGGCACCCGAAAAATGATGAAAAATCTCTCTTTTTTCAACTCCTTTTTTCTCTCATCCACTGCGTCTCCTATTTTTGATAGACTCTCTTCTTCTTTTTTTTTCATTCATAACACCTCCATTGCCTCTTCCTCTTCTTCTTCTACTTGTATTTTTTCTCTCCTTTTTTCATGTCCAATGGTGTTTCCCGCATTTTATTTTTATTTCTTAAAGTTTCCTTTTCTCTTTGCACTCTCTCTTGAAACTTCTTTTTTTTATACAGTCTTTGTAGTTTTTCAGGTTCTCCCCGCTTGCAAAAATTCAAGGTCTGAGCAATCGTTACGTTAAGACGGCGATGGGTCGCAAGAAAATTCAAATCACCAGGATACAGGATGAGAGAAATCGACAGGTTTGTTTTTTTTTCAAAAAAGAAATGTGGGAAAGTGGGAAAGTGAGAAGAAACGGTATACTTTCTAAAATTGACATTCAAAAACAGATTCAGTAAAACAGTTACTACGGTTGTTGAAGTTAATGGAAGTTAATAAATTTAAAAGTTTCAGATATTTTTAATTTCTGAAAAAAAGAAATTTTGAAACCTCCCTAGTCCATACATATCAGAGATTTGCAAAATCACAGTTGCCTGCCATAGTTTCTTTTAGAATCCATATTTTATGATCAAATAAATTAGATATGATAGAATTCTTCAAGGACTACAACATGGTAGTGTTTAGAAAATTATACCCTGTTTATTCGATTAGTTTGAAATTGATTGTCTTCGAAAGAAATAAGTAAAAAAAATATATTAAAAAATATGATCATCGTTTTCAAATAACCCTCCGTCTAATCTCCTCTTTAAGGAGATCTGTTATCACCAGGAAGTCTTGAAGATACAAAGATTACTCATCTTCTGATTCTTCTTCTTTTCAATTTTTCCCCAAACTTCCTAACTGAGAAATTACAATGTTTTTGTTCTTGGAAAATAAGTCGTAGAGGAGTTCTCACTTTCTAGAGACATCTATCTTTCTTCCCCCTTCGATTCCATCTTTTTTGATTTGTGACATGTTTTCTCGTGATTGTCACGTGGGAAGCAAAGAAGAAGACAAATGGATTCTGTCCTAAAAAGATGAATCTATCAAAAGTACAGTATCCTACAGTAATTCTTTCAGCTTTTTTGATTCCTACGGTTTACAAAATAGTTCAAACTTTTGGGAAACCGTAATCTCAATCTTTTATAATTGAATCTGGAAGGCATAAATTAGGATTTCTCGCATATTTAGGGCATATTTAGTTCATATATCTGGAAAAAGGTTTAAAATCTACTGTGTGAAAGGTTACTTGTAAATAGCTTTTTTCTTCTTCTTCTTCTTCTTCTCCATGTAAAGGAATCTGAAGCATAAAGTGCTGCGTCGTCTTCTTTTCCTTCTTTTTCTTCTCTTGTTGCTCCCCCGCATCGCCTTCTTTTCATGCTCTTCTGATGACGTCATCAGCGCGCCGTCGTTGGCACGTCCATCTGCGTATCTGATTTTTGTACACTGCCTTGCCTCTGACGACATCAAAAGAACAGATAGAGTGGAGAAAAGTATGTAAAAATGAGAGAAGTTGGGAGGAAAAAGAGAAAACAAGTTTCTCTTCTCTCTCTCTCTCTCTCTCATTTTGATAGCCACAACGAGCGAGAGCGAGAGCCTGAAAAAGCAGAAGAACTACAAAAAAAGAAAAAGGGGCGACTATTTTTAGAATCGATACAAAAATAGAAATGACGACGGAATTTTTGGGGAAGAAGAAGAAGAAGTAGAGAAAGAAGAAGGAAGGAATATGTATGATGGATAGACAGCTGGAATTCCAAATTAATGCTGAAAAGGAAAAGAAAAAAAGAGTGAAAGAAGTGATAGAGAGATAGATAATGGATGCGTGGGTGAGAGTTAAAAAGAGGACAGAGACAGAAAATGGATATATTAGATTAGTAAAATAAATAATACTAGGGATTACTGTACAAACTGAATGAACCAGTTGAGATCAAAATATCAATTTTGCAGGTGACCTTCACCAAACGAAAGTTTGGATTAATGAAGAAAGCCTACGAGCTCTCCGTCCTCTGTGACTGTGAAATTGCACTCATCGTCTTCAACTCAACCAACAAACTGTTTCAGTGAGTTTCTTGAATCAAAAGTAATCTTTTCATCTCCACAAATCGTTCAGATACGCTTCCACTGATATGGATAAAGTGTTATTAAAGTACACTGAATACAATGAACCTCACGAATCTCGTACAAACAACGATATAATGGATGCATTAAATCGGAAAGAGGGGAATAATGGTGGAGGAGGATCCGATGATGACAGTCCTGGACCATCGATTTCTCCCGCTATTCAAATTCCAATCCCGGCTGTTAATGGACATAACTCTAATCAGAACAACTCTGTTGCAAGCGCTTCTTCGGCTTCTGCTGCCGCGGTTGCCGCTGCCGCAGCTGCCGTTGCTGCCGTTGAAGGAACATCTTCGGGTGCAGCAGCAGCGGCTGCCGCCTTGCAGGCATCTAACGCTCAAAGACATCACAATTTGAACCTATACCAGAACCTGATTTTCAATCCGAACTACACCAGACACTTGCCACAACGGTAATATATTCAAACATCCAACACTGCTTCTAAAAATTTATTTTCAGAAATGACCCTCTGACTTCCTCCTCTTCCGCTGCTCCCTCTTCGTCCTCCTCTTCCTCCAAACATCTCGATTTCCCGCCTTCCACGTCCTTCGCTTATGATACTTCTCGTCTTCATCCCCTTGCCGCTGCCGATGCTGATTGCGATCTTGTACCGTCGTCTCGAGCTGCTGATCAGAATATATGGTCGACTAATCTACAACAACGACCTGTATCACAACCGGCTCCAAGCAGTGAGTTCAATCATTAAAACTGGAATCTAGGATCAGACTAAAAACACTTCTCTCCGAAAAAAGTTCAAGTGTTTCATTTTACTCAAGGCCGTTTTTATAATTTATATCTTTTAAAAACATTTTCGAAAATATAGGTGAAACTGTTCAAGTGCATTCAAAGATCTTGATGTTTTTTGTTAGTTTGAAACTGTTGCCAATTAAAAAAGTGTGGGTTTTCAGCAAGCAACCTATCGGCAAACGGAATTTCAAATGGCTCATCTTCTCTGTTATCCCCTAATATTTCTTCTCTCAATGGACACTCTGTACTGGATTTGGGCGGTCCCATACCTCCATACAAAATGGACCCGAATGCATATATCAAAGTGGAACCACATTCTCCGCCTCAAAAAAGACCAAGGATTACAACAGAATGGAGGCAGCAACAGTTGACATGATCATTGTGTTGTTTTATTAGATATTTCTAAGCCTTTAATTTTTGTATTTTTGATTCTGGTAAAGTAAATAAGTAATTGCCATTAGATCAAATAATATTTTGCTTTTGAAAAGTCATATCACATTCCCATTTCACCTTCAAAAGTTCGAATTCATCCAAAATCTTAATAATCAAATACAGCTTCAAAAAGGAACTGTACTTTGAACCAAAAAAAATACGCTGAATTCGAATATTGTGAGTAGAAATTTCTATATTTTGAATTGAAACCCTGAGAATATCAACAGTTTTTCTTTTGCTTATACCAATCCGGGTCATTACATTTATGTTTTAAAATTATTTCCTCCTTTTTTCTGCTTTTTCTAATTTTCCTAATACATTCGTTAGTGATTTCCTTTGTAATTCTTTCTCTTTTCCCGGTCTTTTCTTCCTCCTTTCTTTCCGACTGTTCCGAGTTGTGATGTTAATGTTTTATATGAAGTTCAATAACAATAATAATCAATGTCACTATTCATCAGTATTAAAATGAGATTTTTCATTTGTGGAATCAACATTTTCGAGAATATTAGTGAAAAAGAAGAGAGCATTTGAATTGTAAATGTGTGGACGATGTGTGTGTGGTGGGGAAACGAAACTGGGAAAATGAAAATTCGAGCAGAACCCAAGTTCTCTACTCTTTCAAATGAGATTTACAAAATGGAGGAAACGAGAAAAAACAATGGAAGAAATATAAAATCCAGTGGAATCAAGCATATGACAATAAAAATAAAGACAGAAATCACGAAAATTAAAGAACTCTGACGGTCATGAAAACTAGAATTCATCATTCAAAAGGATTTATCGAACAAAAGTCGTCATCAATTTTGTCGGTACTGTTGAGGTGGCTGATATTGTTGTTGTGGTGGTGGAAAGTAGAAGCCTGAAACACGCGATTATTGAAATACGATAGACATGTTTACTATAAATTGAAACGACATGCATTTTATATAAAAGTAGTGCTTCATTCGACATAGAATGTCAGATATATTCCGATTTAGAGGACAAGTGGAAAGGAGTGAAGATCGGGTGCATTTTTCTAGCTCAGTCAAAAATATGATAGTGTTGCATTTTCGATATGCGATAAGAACATTTGACAATACTAATAAATACAGTGAGAATGATTCAATCGGAGAAAGTAAAGAGCAGGCGAATGGGAAACAAAATAAATTATGCTAAAAAAAGATAAAGGGATTTTTTTAAAAGGTCTCCCGGCCAAATAGACCAATCAATTGACTCTCGAGTTTGGACGTCGCGAATTGCGAACGGTTACTCCTGGAGGTGGTGGGTTGTCAACGAGATGACCAGTTGGAAAATTCAATCGAGAAGTGTTACTTGGTCCGGGACATGCGATCAGACGTGGTGGTCCGAGATGACTCCCTGAAAGAGACGGCAAACCTAATGAGAAGAAAAAGACTGAGTGAAAGTAGTAGAAACTGGTGCAATGGAAAAGAATAAAATCACCAACGATGAAAATTTCTAGTTATAGAAGTGACAAATCTTGCTGATTGTGCGGTTTTGAAAAAATTTTTTTGGAGAATATAAGAACCATATCTATATTTCGACATTCATGCTCATCTATACTTCGTAATTAAATTTTTACCGTTTTGAATTTGTTGTGGGCTATAGTAACTCGGCGACATCATTCCTTGCTGTTGTTGTGGATGTTGTGGATGCTGTTGATGTTGTTGATATTGTTGATGTTGTTGGTGCGATGGATGCTGCTGTTGTTGCAAATGAACCATTTGATTGTTTCTGCCGATGAGCCCACTTTGCGTTTGAAACGGTTGCGGCATCATTGACTAAAAATATAATTTCCAAAATGTTCAAATTTATATGTCGGGAAAAATGTTTGATCAAGTTTAGCTGAGTGACATTCTGATGCTCACCGTGTATCCGAATTGCGACGTTGGTGTCTGAGGACCCGAGGATTGACCATTCATGTACGAATGTTGATAATTCATGTGAACAGGAGCTTGTTGCATCAGGTTAGATTGCGAAGAATGAGGCATCTATAAGAGACAGAGTGGTAAAACTTAACATGTTTGTCTTTTACCCGTTGTGTTGTATGCCTTTCAACAATTTGATCCATCGCAGCTTGGAGCGTCGGAACTCCAGTTGAACCATTACCCATAGGAGAATGACCAGCACTGAGAACAGCCGGTGATGGTGGAGCTGCAGTATTATGCAATTGTTGTTGAGATAATTGACGCATTGGTGGTTGTTGAGGTGCAAGAGCTGCGATCGGCCGTGGCGGACTATCGTCAATAGTTATAATTTCAATCGCACCATTTCCTTTCTTCGGTGGAGGAGTCTTTGGTCTGTCCCCGTTTGATCCTGAAAAGTTTCAATTCGGATTGCCAATTTTCGAATAACTATAAATCAATGTTATGTGATTATCTAATACAAATATATTGCGAACCTGATTGTCTCTCAGATGCATGGTTGATGTTCAATGAATTTTGTATACCTCTGTTCAAATCCTCATCATCAGAATCATCTAGTGTAATTATGTCCGTCTCAGTAACTGGTTTCTTCTTTTTTCCGCCATTTTCTGGGACTGCATTACTGCTTGAAGGACCAGTGTTAACGTTTGGTTTGACATCATCATCATCGTCGTCGTCTGAGAGACAAACACCTTCTTCTTCCTTGATGACTTCGTAAGAACCATCTACTTTCAACTCCACTTCTGTCATGTTTTTGTCAACTTTTGCTAGCATGTCGAGGAAATAGCTGAAATGTATTCGTAAAAGGTAACGATTTATAAAAATTGCAGAAGAGGAGTATTAAAACTATTGATAGTAACTGTTACTCGATCAGAACTGGACGGAAAACTTATTTACTGATATCCAACCCACACCTGCTCTGTTTTAAAGGTAATGTTATAGCTGTTATAGCTCCTCATCACCAGAAGTCAGCCAGAACAGTAGTAAACAAATACTAAACAGAATTTGTTTGAACTTACTCGTCGACGATGAGTCTGTCATATGGACAATAACCAGAGCACACTGGACACTGCCACGTTGGCTTTTTCTCGTTCATCATCAAATAGGACATCAGATCAAAGCATTGAAGATGGGTACAATCTTCACATCTAACAGGAGTTTTCATTCTGATTTTTGACAGTGGGTCAAGAAGACTGATGACGAGCTGGTCCATAGCAATGTCATCTTCTCCTCCAGATAATTTCTTCATCACTTCTTCTTTGGTAGCCGAGATGCTTCTATGTTTGCCGTTATTGGAATCGAGACGTTGGAAAAGAATATCCGAGTTGAGACGATGTACAAAATACACTCCTGCAGCATATACCCGTCTGTCGGAGAGCCAGTCGATGACAATATTATGATCTCGTTTGAAACCTCGATAATTTTGAACATATTGGGTGATGTTAACTGGGCGTGAAGGCCGTTTCGGTTCAGCATTTGGTTTGTTTGTCGGAATTATATTCTGGAATATATTATTTAAATATTGATGTTCACCAAGTCAATAACATAACATCTATATAAATTCGATCTTACCGGTAGGGTGACTTGTTGATCATTGATACGAACTGAACAGTTCACTGGAAAATCATCCTTCTGCTGTGCAGCTGGTTCAGTGATATTGAAAAATCTGTAAAAATGGATTAAACCGAAATCAATAATTTTTTAGTATCACCTCAGCTGTATCTCAAATCTCGGCGTAATGGCATCAGCACGCGTTGACAGTCTGTTGTTCTGATCAGGAGTTGTTTGGAAGCTGCACGCCACCTGAAAGACTCGAGAATTATAGTTTTAAATAATAAATACATTCTTACCATTTTATTTTGCTTGTTGTTGTTGTTGTTTGCTTGCAATTCAATAGGTTGCAACAAACAATTGAGTACATCGAAAAACGGAAGACGAACGGTGTCGAAAGGATCCGCATAAATCTTCACAGGCTGAAAAATTTAAATTGAAACCTGGAAAGAAGTGTATAAATGCTAATTCACACCATCAGAGTGAAATGTTTGGCTTAAAATACTGAAAAGTTGATAGCGATCGATGATTTTTTTTTGAAAGACATCAAACTTAAAGAATACTGATTTCTGTCTCACCGCCTGCATGTGTCCCATCGGATACCCGTTATGATGTGATGCCATTTGAACCATATTGTGCATTTGGGGGTTTTGTGGATAGTGATGAGTGCCATACGGCTGTCTTGACCCATTTGGCATTTGTGGTGGCCTATCATACGGTTTTTGAGCTCTCGACGTTTTCGGCGGCATCTGAAAAAAATTTCGATGAATAGTTTATTATGCAACGCATTGAAAACAAATCAGGCTTTTACAATTTTTAGGAACGAATAACGATGTAGGGCTTACGGGTACTGTCAACGATATCTTATTTGTTGGCACCCGAATCCATAACAATTTTACGCCAATTCGCACAAAAAATTGGGGGCAAATACTCATTAGCTTGATGATCTTTTGCTAAATGCTCACTTGCTAAATATGCTCATTTGCTAAACTCGCTCATTTGCTAAAATAGTCTCACTTGCTAAATTTCATTTGCTAAATTTTGATCATTTGCTAAATAGAGGATTTGTTCAAATTGAAGGCTTAGGCTGAAACTACTTACCGGAAAACCGGATGTTTAAGCCTAAGCTTAAAATTTAAAGCAAAAACCGGAATATTCTGTAAAAAATTGAGTCAAAAAGTACTGAAATTAGCAAATAACAGCAAAATTTCCACTTTTTCATTTTTAGCAAATGACAAAATTTTAGCACATGAAATTTAGCAAGTGAGACTATTTTAGCAAATGAGCGAGTTTAGCAAGTGAGCATACTTAGCAAGTGAGCATTTAGCAAAAGATCATCAAGCTAATGAGTATTTGCCCTAATTGAGTGTATCCAGGATACTATATTAAGAGATAATGCAATATCTAGAAGTTGAACAACGCAATATACAACAACGACAAAATCGTTTCCTTTAAAAATCTTCTGTACCCTCGAAAAAATGAGTAGAAAAGATAAAGCATAAGGCGAACGTCGAGGATGATTCAAAAAAGGTACCGGAAAACATTGAGAGCAGAGTGACGACTGTCTGAATGTAGTTCTCATAGATTGCGAGACATAATACTCCGCTGGAGAGACGCAGAGAAAAGAGAATTGCAACGTCGACAATATCTTTGGCGCGGCATAAAGAAGTGGAGTCGTAGATTGCGAGACAAATGGGAAACAAAAAGTGATCGCTTTTTCGAAATTAGAGATAACTGGGAAGATAGTTTTCGATTTTAATATGATCATAAACCTAGTGAATCTGTTCATGCCCCTGAGAGCTGTCGCTTATTTTGATCTACGGGCCGGCGCGGCAAAAATGTAATATTTCCAACTTTCGTCTCGTCATTTTTGCAATCATGTTCGGTTTTCAGATTCTACAGATGCTAGCGATCATACTTTTACTAAGTATATTCGTTGCAGAAAATCCGCGAATAGCAAAATCAGCAAAAATGTTGAGCACAAAAATTAAGGCACAGGGAGTTTCCTGCAAGGTCTCACTTAGGTTCAAGCCAATGGGTCAGAAATCGCGCCCCAGTATACGTGAGATTTTAGAAAACATTCGCTGCTGAATTATGTGGCTGAGGATCAAACTTTTAAACGTTGCACGAAAAAATCACGCGTTGCAACTTGTTGATTAAAACTAATTAGGTCAAATCCACGTCAACTTGGAAATTATTAAATTTCTTCTGGCCTAAAAGTTATTGAGGCGCGTTTTTTGACCCGTTGGCTTGAACCCAAGTGAGGTATTACTTGGTTTGTTGTGGAGTCTACGTAGACAAGCAATTGGCCTAGAAAACTACAATAACTTTTTTTGGACCAACTTGTTGGCAAGCACGCCACAAAGGTGGCCTAGGTCTAGAAAATTGGTGCATTTAATAATTTTTCCCGGTCCCTGTACGACAGCGATTGCAGCAAATTGCTGATTTTGCTTCGCTCTGCATAAAAACCGGCAATTTGCTAGTTTCCTTCCCTCCGAATAACAGCACTGAACACAGTTGTTTTCTTGCGGTTTTTGCGAATGAAGCACAGAGTTCCCCATTAATTCGGAGTTGTTGTGCTACTTTTCATGTTTAAGTGCAAGACCTATTCTAAATAAAATTATCATTCTATCTCACCTCCAATTTTAGAACTCCGTTGGCATGGAGGCTGTGGATCTGGAATTTTTAACGAAAATATTTAAAGTTTAAAAATAGTTTCTAGAGTAGAGATCTCTGACAGACCGTTTGATAGAGAGTTTGAGCTTGTTGATTGCTGTATAAAGATTCCAAAAGGAATTTTTGATGCTCGTTTTTATTCATGCGCTTGCGGTTGCCAAGAGCGCTGCAGATCTGTTGCGCAATATGTTGTTTGAGTGAGAAGATGGTGGACTGTAAACTGAATTTGGTCCTTGACACTGGAATGCAAAACGTACACAAATTTGTTGGTTATCCTCAGGACTCAAGCCATTGTTTATAGGGAAAGGATAGGTTGCTCCGTGCAACCCTATCATTTTAGGACCGTTATAATCCATGACTCCTCACAAGTACGCTAGTCCACTTCCTCCAAATATAACCACCGACGAAAGACAGTTTATATGCTATGAACTGTTGTTATGAGATTAAATAGTTATGGGTCCAAAAAAACATCACAAAAATCAGTGGTATGCAAAGAAATTTCGAAAGAATGATACTATCCGTTCGCGAGTCACTGAGTCTCTGTCATAAAATACTCCTCAATCCCATCGATTGAATGTGATCTACAACTTTTTTGTTTTGTAAGATTTCGTTCGAAAATATGCGGGTCGACGGGATCGCTTTTGGCCGCATTCTGCTAGTGGGATATCAGAGTGTCGAAAAAGAAAATCATACGGACCTGCGAAAGGATAATACGGATATTCAACAACAAAAAAGAGATAGTACAGCAGTGAAATTCCATAATCTTTGTGATGTTTTTTTTCCCGATTTAGCGTTCGAAAGGCGCTTGGCTTGTGTGGATTTGATTAGTCTAGACATATTGCGCGAAAAGGGAAGCAATTTTTCTCGCTAGCGTGTAGAAGAGCAGATGAAAAATAATTGGTACCACACAATTGAACTTAGGTGAATTTCGAACTCGAAATAATCGCGGCGCTATGAAAAAGCGGCATGATTCCCCTTTTAACGAATCACTTCAAACTTAAAAGTGCACACAGTAAAAATAGAAGAAAATAGATAACCACAATGGTCCAGTCCGGATGACTGATATAATATAAAAAGAGAAAAAAACAGTAGAACTACAAAGTAGCTCTAAACAAACAAGGGAAAATTCTGTTTATTTTTCGAATAAAAAATGAGGTAAAAAACAGAAGCTAAGAACACCGTAAAAGAAACTATGGTTATCTGACAAAAGAGAAACGAGGAAAATCGAAAGAAATGGATGCAACTTCGGTTGAAGATTATGGTGGCTTACTCGTAGAAATAACCTTTGATGTATCTTTCAAACGCCCTCGTATTCTCTTTTCTTCGTTCTTGTGCCTAACGCCTGTACCACAGCTGTGCTTCTCTCTTACGCTTGATCTTCTTTTGCAATTGAAGAACTCCATAAAGAAGAGCCTGAAATCAGTTGTTTCCATCGAAATCCTCAACTGATAACTTCATTTCAAAATAGATATGACATCTACAGACAGATACTTCAATATTGTCTTCATACCTCAGCAGTTGGTGGACATCCTGGCACATAAATATCGACTGGAATAACACGATCGCATCCACGAAGGACCGAGTACGCATAGTGATAATATCCTCCTCCGTTCGCACACGATCCCATGGAAATCACCCATTTGGCTTCTGGCATCTGATCGTAGATACGACGAAGGGCTGGTGCCATTTTGTTTGTAACGGTACCAGCCACGAAGATCAGATCAGCCTAAAATATAATTTCGATATTTTAGCGAAGAATCAAAGTCTAGCAGTTTGGTTACTCGGGGAGATCACCTTTCTTGTTGAATTGTCATCAATCAAGCTTCTAATCTTACCTGTCTGGGGGAAGCTCTGAAAACAACTCCATATCTGTCCATGTCGTATCTTGGTGCAGCGAAGTGCATCATTTCGACAGCACAGCAAGCCAAACCGAAGGTCAAGGGCCAGATGGATCCTCTTTGTGCCAAATTCATGACATCGTCGAGACGAGCCAGCGCATATTCAGCTTTTGAAGATGGATTGAGGAAGGGAGTTCCTGAAATGATAGTTTGGTGAAAAAATAAAAAAGAGACTATATTTAAAATCGAATATTTAAATGACATTAATAAAATCACAGTTTTTTCGGAGAGGTGTCTTAATTTTTTCCCGCGTTTTTCCGATATATAGAGTGCAGGCACGCGAGTAGCGACTCAAAGATTTCGTGTCGAGACCTACGCCTTTTACTACGGTATAAAAATGTTAGCATCGGAGCGCATTTACAAGACGTTTAAAAAACAAGGAGACCCCGCAAATTCCGGGAAAAAAAATCGGGAAAAAACCGGGGAAAGTGGGCGGAGTCGAGAAAAATGGCGAAAACAAACCGTGCGGCAAAACCGTGCCAGGGTTGCAATTTAGGCTCCGCCCCCTCATGACCGCGTCCAAATGTGCTAAAAAACCGTGCGGCAAAATTGTGCCAGGGTTGCATTTTAGGCTCCGCCCCCGACGCCGCCCACTTTTCCCCGATTTTTTTCCCCGGTTTTTTCTTTCCCCGGAATTTGCGGGGTCTCAAAACAAGCCGTGTTGAAGTTAGGAGAGGAAACCAAAGATTCCGAAAAGAAATAGGAAAAAACAGGATATTGAAATCGGAATGTTTGAAAGAACAACATGAATTACAGGATGATTCACAATAAATTTGGAGACATATTTTTGTTCATAATCTGAACAAACCTGTTGTGGCAATACCCTTTGGTGCTTCGCTGTTACTGGCGATCGCTTGAGTCGAAGCAAGGCGTCGAGTGCTTAAAGCTCCGGCAGTTCGAAGTGCCGAAAGCATCTGAAATTGAACAGATGATTGAACATGCAAACCAAGAAGATCAAGGAAAAATAGAGCTGGTTTTGAAATGTGTTTCCCCACCTGGCCTGAGATGCTTTGTTGATGGATATATAAGAAAATAGGAAATAGAGCTTCATATCAAGACTGATTCAAAATTTTAGGGCTTTTGATGAAGCGAAGAAAAACAGAAAGAGGAAAACACATGATGGAAAAACAAAACCAGCCCAAAGGGGAAACGGGGTTGGACAGAGAAATCGATTTGAACAGTCATAGAAAAAACACTGCTAGAAACCAAGAGTCCTTCGGGCCGCCAGCAGGCTTCAATCGATAATTCCGTCGTTCTGTCTGGTACACTCTATCTGTTTTCTGTTTTGCCTCGCCACGCACCAGCCAGAGAGTTAGAGAACCGGCGCCTTTCGAGCCGCCCGTGTTGTTGCCAAAAATAAGTGAATGAAAAAAAAAGAACTGATGAAATGAAAAAAAAATTAGCAGTGAATCCGAAATAACAATCGATGCTACATAAATACTTTTACTTTACAAAACCGCACAGCAAAATGTTGTTGGAAATACAAAATCTTTACTTTCTCATAGTAGTTTGACCGACAGCCCTGTAATTGTTGACACATAACGACATAAAACTGCTCAAAAAAAATCCAACGAGAAATGAGATAAAAAATAGTCGAGAAGGATGAATTGCGATGTTGAAAACGAAAGTTTTTGATGGAAATCAATAGATTTGGCAGTGCGCTGCGAGACCCATTCTTCTACAGTAACATCATACCACCGCGTGTGTTTTTGCAACAGTTGGTGTGCCTTTAATGAAGTGTACTGTCGCGAAGCGCTCTCGGATGAAAAATTCGTAACTTATTGAATACCTGCGACGACCTCTGTTTTTGTACAACGAACGCATTTTTGTGATTTAGCATCGTTTCTGTTTGATTTTATTGTTGTGTGCTTCATTTTTTGCTTTTGTAAAATGTCTACTTATACTTCTGTATGTCTGCTGACAGGAATATCTCTAGAGATGGTATATTTAGATGAGCGTAGAATAGATACAGTTTAATTTATCGCTTGACTATTGACAATTCATCAGAATAAACAGATTTGAGACTAAATAGAAATAGCATCGAATATTACTGCTGTCATACAGATGAAAGCAAAACCAGCAAATTTCTGCAGCCTCGACGATAAAAAATGCTGGAGTTTTCTAGAACATGACCACCTTCCGCTTCTGTCTGCAGAAGATAATTACCGATAAACTGCTGGTTTGCTTCTATGAATAACAAGTGATTTTCAGTAAGATTTTTTCGTAAAGTAACCCATTATACTTCCATCAAACAACTGGTTTATTTGAATGAACAAAGTACACATCGAAATTTTCGTCTGTTGAAAATTATGCATTGTGGCGAAATTAATGAAAATCACATGAATATGAAGAAGTACCGCTTGAACGATGATTCACACTTCCTTTCAGTTTATTTTCTCGAAAAATTGCATCGAACAATTTTTGAAGTTGAAAATCTGCCTTTTTAACGAATTTTCATCCGACGAATGATAATTGTAGAATCTCGGCTCAGATCGCAGTTCTGGGCGGGCCGGAGATTACCCGCATCCGACCAGCCGTCACCAGTTTTCTCACATTTGATTTCAGTTTTTTTTTTTCGTTTGACGATTTCCGCATTCTCCCCAAAATTTTACAGAATCATCCTCTTTTTGGTGATTCGAATCTCGCAGAAAAATGGACCACTTGTATAGTTCCTAGTTGTAGTATTACTCTTCATTGCGATTCTATGAAGTTTAAGCTATACTTTAGCATGCAAAAATCGGAGAAATTTTTTTTCTCGATTTTCATCCGGTTTTTGGCATTTTTTAATTCAGAATTTTTTAATTGTCCGACTCGTTTAGATTTTTTCAACACGAAAGCTGTAGAAAGGCAAAAGTAATCTAGAGAAAAGGTCCGAAAATTTCAGGTTACGGTGGTTTTACGGGGACTGTTGGCCACGCCCACAAGATCTTCTTTTCCACAGCTCTGATTTTTATACAGGCATAATATGATGACTCTTTATTGCAATTCTATCAAGTTCAACTAAATTATATTTTTTTATTCTAGTTTTTCTACTGACGAAATATAAAAATTTCTATGTGTGTTGAATTCGGTCCGTTCCGGAACCAAACTTTTGATTGAAGGCATGCAGTTTATCGGACACTTCTTTTTCTTCCACGCAGCGCCCACGTTCAGCATCGTTTCTCTGCTTCTATTTCGTTTTCCGATCGGCCGCCAGTTTTCTGTTTCCACAAGGCGCGGGGTCTCTCTCTCTCCTTCATTTTTTTTTGAATTGTTTCTGCACAGGGTTTTGCGTCTCTTCTCACAATGTACTCTCTCCTGTGTTTTCTCTCACCCCCTCTGGTCGCTATAATAATCTCTGTTGTCTGTCAACTTTCTCCTAGTTTCTCGCCTTCTCTTGCTTTAAGGCATCTTCTCTCAACGCCACTCCGCCGATCTTCTCAATCGTTTCTCTGAGCCTCTTGATTTTCCCAGCTGTTTTTCTCAATTCCTAGAAAATATGTATTTCTTTTAGTTTTCTTCTGACACATTTTTTACGGAACCTTTTTTTCTTTTTATAGAAGTTACGGACAGTTTCGAAACTAGTTTCGATGAATTAACTCTCCAAGTAGTCTCAAAACCTAAGAAAATATATAATTTTCAATCATTCGTCGCAGAATGTTCTATATGAAACAAAAAATTTTATCATTTTTTCTATTGTCGAATTTCAAAAATGACACCTGAGAATCTTAAGGGGGTACGACGAATTCGAACGC